CCACACCTAGGAGTACCTCTAACCAAGACACCTACAGTGAAAGCTACAGAACTCTGAAGAAAGAGGCGGAGGAGGGCCAGGAAGGTGGGAGACGCCCGCATCCGTGGAGAGGAGAATCAACCTGCTAACACGGCCACGGCACCCAAGCAACACAGACCCAAAGCCGTCCCCATCAAAATACAAATGACCTTCTTCACAAACTAGAAAAAACAGTCCTAAAATTTATTTGGAAGAACAAAAGTCCCAGAATAGCCAAAGCATTCCTGAGACAAAAAAGCAATGCTGGAGGCCTCACCCTGACTACGTGTCGGAGCTACAGCAACCAACCTGCATGGCACTGGCTTCAAACCAGACCCAGACCAACGGCACAGAACGGCAGACAGAGACGGCCCACATCTACTGAGCCTTGACAAAGGGGCCAAGAAGACGCCTTGGAGAAAAGACGGCCTTTTAACAAGTGGCGCTGGGGCAGCTGGTTATGCTTGTGTAGGAGAAGGAAACTAGACCCTTATCTCTCACCTGCACAAAAAATCCACAAAAGGATCAAAGACCTCGGAATTAGACCAGAAACTATGCAATTCCTAGGAGAAAATGGAGATCAACACTGCAGCGTGAAGGCCAGGAAAGGACTTTCTCAGAAGGACCCTAGAGCTGAGGAAATAAGGCCCAGAGTGAATAAACGGAAGGGCACTGAATTAAAAAGCCCCGCACAGAAAAGGAGACAATCAACAACGTGGAGAGAGGACCCTCAGAACGGGAGAGAACCACCGTAGCTGCTCGTCTAACAGACGATGAATATCCAGAATAGGAAAGAACTCAAACCCTTTACACCAAAAACCAAATAATCCAATTAGTACGTGGGCAATGAACCCAACAGGCCTTTCTCAAAAGAAGAGATACAAATGGCCAACAAATACATGAAAAAATCTTCAAGACCATTAGCAATCAGGGACGTGCAAATCAGAACCACACTGAGATTTCATCTCACACCAGTCAGCACGGCGGCCACCAAAAATACACTAATAAGGGACGCTGGAGAGGATGTGGGACCCTTGTCCATGTTGGTGGGACTGTGAATCAGCACAGCCACTGTGAAACCGGTGCAGAGGGTCCTCAAAAGGCCAGGCCTGGCACCACCACGTGACCCAGCCACCCCCTCCTCAGTAATTACCCTAAGAATTAAAGTCGGCATGCCCCCGTGACACAGGCACACCATGTTGACAGCAGCACGTTCCCCACAGCCAGGCTGTGCCACCAGCCAGGGGCCCCTCAGTGGACGAATGGATAAAGAGAAAAAGTGGTTTTTACACAACGGAGTTTCTTTTTTAATTTTTATTATTATTATTATTTTGTAGTTGTAGATGGACAGAAGGCCTTTATTTTATTTGTTCCTCTTTATGTGGTGCTGAGGATCGAACCCAGCGCCTCACATGAGGTAGGCAATCACTCGTCACTGAGCCACACCCCAGGCCCCACAATGGAGTTCTATTCAGCCATAAAGAAGTTTGAAATCATGCCTTTTGCAGAAAAGTGGATGAACTTGAGAGCATTATATTAAGCAAAAGAAGCCAAACTTGGAAGGCCAGGGGTCAATGTCTTCCCTCCTCTGTGGAAGCAAGAGAGGAAAAAGGAAAAGAAAGGTTGTGGGGTTATCCCACGAATGTCATGGAAAGGGTCCAGGGAAGGAGGGAAATGCCGGGGAGGGACACAGGCCGAAGCGCACTGCTACGAGATGTGCGCCACCAGGAGGGTGGCAGAGATGTGGGAGAAGGGAAGAGGTCACCAGCACAGTCAGGAAATGCCCTCGGGCGGATGGAGAGGGCCACAGCTGGCCAACACGGCGGGATGCAGCGCGCTGGCTCGGAGCCACGCAAGGTCTCGCATCCACACTGCAACCCAGCACCTCCCGGACCAGCAACAAGACGCTCAGCCAGATCCAGCAGGAAGCAGTGAGCAGGGAGGAGAATCAGGGAAACCGAGAGTGCCTTTGAGTAAAAAGCCAACAAAACAGACAAGCTCTTGGCTACTGTCACTAAGAAAAGTAGAGAAACTTAAAAACCAGAAATGCAAAAGGAAATAGTAGGACCACCGCCGCGGTCGTGGAGAGAACTGTAGGGCACACAACAGAGGAATGACCAGGAAACAGCAGGCGGCCGGCCACAGCTCACCAGGAAGAAACCCAGAACCTCACTAGGCCACGGTGGTGAGATGGAGAGCCACAGACACCTCCTGCGGAGAGCAGCTCAGGGCCACTCGGCCTCGCTGCAGAATCCCACCGACACACACCAGCACAATCCTCCCGGAATTCTTCCCAGAAATCTAAGAGTAAGAATCACGTCCAAGCTCATCCTCCAAGGCCAGCATCACCCTGGAATCACAGCCAGATGAGGACGCTACAGGAAAGAAACCCAGATCAGTGTTTCTGATGAATGTTGATAAAAAAAACCCTCAACAGAACACTACAAATCAGGGCCACAGCACGCTGCAACCCTAGGCCACCAGCAGGGCGCTGGCTCGGGAATGCACGGCAGTTCACCAGGGGACCTCCATCCGTGCCGCTGACGGCATCAGCAGAATGAGGTGCAGCACCACGCGTCCTCTGGAGTGGGGCAGGATGAGCACTAGGCAGATCTGACCCCCTCCCGTGACAGACACAGGAGTGGAAGGGTGGCACCTCAGCCTAGTGAGGCCAGCTGTGAAAATCCCACTCCGTGTGAACTGGACCCAAGCACCAAGTCCAGCACCCAGGCCAGGATGCCCATGGGTGAGTGACCTGGAAGAGGGCGATGCACACACCTGTAATCCCAGCAGCTCAGGAGGCTGAGGCAGGAGGACTGCGAGTTCAAACCAGCCTCAGCAACTCAGTGAGGCACCAAGCAACTCAGCGAGACCCTGTCTCTAATAAAATACAGAATGGGATACCAAAGCCAACCAAGAACGAAACCCATCAAAACCGCTAGCCAGTCCTGGTGAGAGAGGTTCTGGTTCTAAACTATTCATTTACTATTGCTATTAATGTTGACATAATCATAAGATCAGTGACCAATTCTTCACCAACTAAAATGGCACAACTCTCCCTGAAACAAACTTTACTGGGTATCATGAAGCCTTTCGAGAACAACACCGTGATCTAGGGAAACTGTGGGCTACCACTGTGAACATACAGGCTGCAACATTCCCTGGAGTCACCAGTGAGTGGAGACTCGGAGACGCCAGGGCAGACAAGCCCTTACTGCAGTGGGCTCTTCTGCTGTGTCCTCACAGATATGAGAGTCAAGTCAACGAGTGCTGACCCAAAGGACCACACGCATGCTACTGGGAAGAGCCTCGCACAGCCGTCCCTCCCGATCACAGCCAAACGTATGGGGAAAATACAAAACAGGGCTGGGACGTGGCTCAGGGGTTAGGCGTTCCTGGTTCCATCCCCAGTACCAAAAAAGTGAAGAGGGTGACGCTGCCACCAAGCAGGGAAAGGAGCTGGGGAGACACAGGACAAAGGAGACCAGCCGTGAGGTGCTCTGCGCACCACAGGGCCCGAGAGCAGGCTCACGGGAGCAGGACGCGAGGTGGACGGCCCTGTCCCTCAGCAGGACCTCTGCCTCCCCACTAGTGAGAGCAGCGTAAACCAACCCGACTCCCACTTGCAATGTGCAGGAACGGCTCAAGGCCTGGCAGGTAGGGGCCAAGGGGGCGACCACTGGGTGCAGTCCAACCTCCCGGCCAAGCACTGACTCCAGACACTGGCAAGTGCCTCAGAGAGGCTGGGCGTCAGGGTGTCCGCGACGGGGTGGGCGTCAGGGTGTCCGCGACGGGGTGGGCGTCAGGGGGTCCGTGACGGGGTGGGCGTCAGGGTGTCCAAGACGGGGTGGGCGTCAGGGGATATCCGTGACGGGGTGGGCGTCAGGGGGACCAAGATGGGCCAGGTGTGAGGATAGTAAGGCCTCTAGGTGGGGCAGTGGAAGGACACCTACATGTCCCACCCACATGTGCCCCTGGAGCACCTGGGCGGTGACTGTGGGCAGTGACTGGCAGGTGAGGAGCAGAGGGGAGCTCAGCTGCTCTACCTCTGTATTCCAGGACACACGGACACACCCACGACCATGTGCAGGCAGGCGGCTGAGGCTACGCTGGGTAAGGCTGAGCCAGGGGTTCAGGTGGGACAGGTCTTTTTTCCCTGACATCAGGTTTTCAGGTTAGGGATCTGGCACTGGTAAAGTCTGCAAATGTTCCACGTCCCATAATCTGACACCCTCCACACACTGGCCCAGGCACTGCAGATGACAGACTCCACCCGCCACACTCTGGCAGGACAGACCAAGTGTAGGACTAACCCAGCCCCAGGAACTTGGGGATCCCCGCCCCATTCAAGAACATTACAGACGAGGTGTGTGTGGTCCTCTCGTGGGTCAGCGTGAAGACAGGCTGCTAGGCCGCCGTGTGGCCTGCCCCTCCCAGGCCAGGTTACAGGCTCATCACCCGGGTGCCCGTGTGCGCCGTAACTGCACGTGGGCTCTGAGAGCTTCGGGACGGGCACTGAGCCTTGGCGCCACAGATGACCTGCACACAGCTAAGAGACCAGGTGGCTCCCGGTCCATCTACTAGGGCGGCCAGCCGAGCGGCCCCTACTCTAGGCTAGGAGCTCTGAGCTCAGAACGCCTGCCTGTGGCGGGTGTGTGGATGTCAGCCACCCTCCATGTCCAGTGAGGAGTCCAAGCACCAGGGCTGTCCCCTCTGCTGCTGAGGGGTCCCGTGCCTCCCTCGGGAGAGGGCGGTTCAAGATGTCACCTGCAGTGCACTCAACACACCCTCTGCCTGGGCATCCAGGACTGAGACCTGAGGGGGCAGGGCATCCTGGCAGAGGCAGCCTCTGTCCCTCCAGCTGGCCCTGGAAAGCTGCAGTCCTTCAGAGTGCATGGGGGCACCCACAGGGGACCCAGGAAGGTGGTGGGCGGGAAGGCCTGGCGTGTGCGGCAGGTGGCCCGCAGCCCCGGCAGCCTTACCGTGCTATCTTGTCGCTGCAGGACATGGTCAGCAGCCTCTCCCCCTGCAGCACCCCATCCCACGTCTGGATGCTGGCGTTCGACCGCACTGGGATCGTCCCCTCGCCAGACTCAATTTTTGTCCGCAGCTGTCCCCTCGCTTTGCGGTTTGGATGTCGATCTGAGGGTTCTAAGAGAGAAAGCAAGTTCCAAGCTCAGGATGGAGCACCAGGCCGTGGCACATCCAGGCCTGAAGTCTCTACACACATGCAGCACGTTCACGCCACCTACACAAGACACTCATGCAGCTCAGGTTTACAGAAAGGACTCAGGAAGGGGCCTCCGTGGGGGCCGGGCAAGGAGCCTTCCATTCCCACTGAGACGATTTCCATCAAGACAATGGTGGGAGAGAACAGGAGGAAGCACCCAGGGCTGCTGACTCGGGCCAGGGGCATTTGCTGTAGCTCACCCCTGGTACATCAAAGAGCTTTCTGTAAGGTGTGCCGGCGCACGTCCCGGGAAGCCGGCGCACAGCCACCATTAGCCCTGGGGCATCCACTGAGTGGTTTTCACTTTCTCTCTCATATATTTTTTAAATATCTTTACTTCATTTATCTGTGGTGCTGAGGACCGGACCCAGCGCCATACGTGTGCCAGGCGAGTGCTCTACCCCTGAGCCCCAGCCCCAGCCCCCCTTTCTCATATTTTAATAGCAGCCACTCGCTGGGGGACTACATTGGCTTTATAATCAAGGAAGATGATGTAACCAAACCCGCAGTGTGGACGGACATGCCCAGCCTTGGGAGAAGGACATGGATACAAACTGCCACAACCAGGGCACTGGCTGGCGGTGACGGTGGCCCACTTGGCACCAGGGTCCACCGCTCCTGAAGTAGCGGCTCTGTGCTTGGGTTACACGTTAGTCAGGGAGCGCGTCAGGGAGTTAGTCACCACACACACAAGCACCAGGCACCCGATTCAGACACTCGGGAGTGGGTGTGGGTACGACTGTGGTCTGACACCTTCACCCTGTTCTCAGGACTCAGTTAATCAGAAGTTGCATTTTCCTTTCTTGCTTTAGAATTGGCATTTTGCATTCATTAGCATTTTCTAGTTAAACGGCCACTTGGGAAGAAGGAGCCCATGCTGTGACGGCATCTCCCATGGGACCCACACCCAGGACACCGCGTGCTGCGCCTGCCCTCACTATGGGGTAAGTTTCCTTGAGGACCTGCTGACTGCTGGTCCAGCCTCACACCTTCGAGCACCGGCTCGTGGGGCGAGAATATCCGGGCGTCTCCGCAGGGAGAGGTGCTGATGTACAGGTGGAACTGCACGGTGTCCTTCAGCCGGAACCCCCCTCGCTCCGACTTCTGGAAGATGGAGCTCTTCTGGTCCTCTTTGCTACTGCAAAACCAACCAACAAAGGAACAGTGGCAGAGGTGACCCGAGCTGCTTGTGTTGAGAGGGAGGTTTTCAGGGTGCTTCCCACAGGCAGGCCGGCTTAGCGGGACCTCAGGCCACCTCAGGGAGGGCCAGGTCATTGAGCAAGAGCGACTCCTGCCCCCCGTGCGTGTTTTCAAACAGCAAGACACAGCGCGTGGCCTGGCGAAGGAAGGTCAGGCCAGGCCTGGGGCCCCGCAGTGTGGGAGGCTCCTCACGTCCACATTGCACAGAGCGAGACCACACGGCCTTCGCAGGCCTGGGGATCACAGCCCGGCCACGTCCACAGGGCATGTGCCTGCCTCTGTGCCTGCGCATGTGTTCCTAACTCGGTGGCTCTTGGGACTGAGGCGGGCAGAGCAGGGCAGCAGCGGGATCACGCCCACATGCTGTTCCAGGGTCTGCACCGCGTCAGGGGCTCTGCACTCACTTCAGGTAGAGCTCCAGCTGCGCGTAGAGGAACCTGAGCAGGGAGCGGCGGGCGATGATCTCCGCGTGGCAATCGTTCAGCGCCAAGCCGCGGTCGCTCATGTACTCCCCATTGATGCACTTGGTCCCCGTGGACACACTGATCACCTTGGCGTCCTTCACATCTGTGCCTGGAGGGCAGGAGAGGGCTGCAGCCACGCGGGACCGCCCAGGCCTCCAGGTCACAGATGATGAGCCGCCCCGCCGCCTGCCCACCTGCCCGCCTGCGCTCACACCTGCCCAGCCCGTCCCTGAGCACAGGGCCCTCATGCAGCAGGGCAGGTGCACTGCCCCCCCCCCACTGCCCAGGAACGCGGCACCGTGAAGAGACTGGCCAGCTGGGCAGTAAGGGTGAAGCCAGAACCAAATCACCCAAGAGGTGCAGCAGAGGGCTCGAAGGTGCCGAGGCCCCTCACACTGAGAGCCCGTCACGTTCAACCATCCTGGCGAGGGGCCACCTGGGACAGCCTTGCAGGACCGGCCACAGGCCCAGAGACCGACTGTGAGCTGGGTGGGGCTCAGGGTACAGCCTAGCACTTGCCTTGCACAGAGGCCCTGGGTCCCACCCCCTGTGCCAGAAAAGACACAGTGACCTGGGTGGGGGCTGGTGGCAGCCTCGCCTTGTGGCCAGGGGTGAGAGGTGCCAGGGTCGGCTCCCTGGCAGACCGTCCTCAGCAGGCTGACTCCCGGCAATGCCAGGCCAGTGCTGCTGCCCCCTGGCTTCAGACGCACTTTTGGCTTTGAGCCAACGATCACGGGAAGATTCAGCATGTGGTGCCACCTCTTCCCCGGTGACTGGGCGCCTGAGGGAAGGAGCAGCTGGCCTCATCCCAGAGGGCGTGGAGCTCGCAGGGACCAGCTCACAAGTGGCACCCTAACACCGGCAGGCCCAGGCGCCAGACACTGGGGCTCACCTGAGAGGAGCCTTGCAGTGGGTAGGCCGCGGCCAGCAGCACAGCCATGACCACAGCAGCCACGGCTTCCCGGGCACCAGGCTGAGCACCAGACTCATGGCCCCCTACAACCTGAAGAGGTGGCCACCTTGGGAGAGGGGCCACGGTCCCCTGCACAGGGAACCAGGTTTCTCCCTGGCTGGCAGGTGTCACCTCCCCACCTCCCTCCCTGCCTGGCCTCTGCCTGCACTGGAGAGTCCATGCTGGGTGACCATGCTGGGAGTATAGCCCCCAGGAAATAGGGTCCTCTCCTGGGCCCCACCCCACCCGGGGCCAGGCTTTTCCTCAGAGTTCCCAGGAAGGACCCCAGCTTCTTTCACTCCTGGAAACTTCTGGAAGAACCTGAAGGAATTACCAGAGCTTCCCCGCCCCCTGACCTGCACTGCCCAGCCGTCCTGCCCCTGGTCGAGCCCTCTTCGGCAGCCCTCGGCCTGGTAGCCTGGCGCCAGGGACGCAGCACCGAGTCCTGCTCCCAGGCGTAGGCTCCCCGTCGGCTGCCTCAGGACAGGCAGAGGCCAGAGGCCGTCCGCAGGAGGAGGACAGGAGGAGCCCTCCTGGGCTGGCCTAGGCGTCAGGCCCGTCTGCTGTGCCCTGGGCTGGGGTGGCCTGAGGCGGGGCCTCTGCCTGCTGACACAGACTCTGCTGAGCTGCACCGCGTCCAGGGGAAGGGCCCAGGGCAGCTACTGCCTGCACACACAGCCCCAGCGATGAGAGCAAGGCAGACCACACAGGGAAACAGGAGGGGGAGACAGGTGGACACGGCTACCTGTGGTCATGACGACTCCAGCCAGCACTTTTCTGCGTGCGTGAGGTGAGGAGAAGTTGTCCGTCAGGTCACTGAACTTACCCAGGACCAGGCGCGAGACGGCATCTGCCAGCACCTGGGGAGGAAGGACCTGAGGTCAGGCCTCGTACACCTGGGAGCCAGCGCCTCTCCATGCCAACACACGCGGCCCCTCACACAGGGACGCTTGCGGACCATGGCCACCCCAGGGACCACTGGGTAAAGGTGACAAATGTGTGTGTGTGTCCTCCAAAACAACCCTTGAAACAGGGGCCAAAATGTCATGCGGGACTCAGCTGGGGGTCCTCCAGGCCCCCAGCCCCCTCACCTGGGGAAACGCCGGCCCTGGATCTGCTGCCCTGCCTGCTGACCCTCAGCCACCCTGCTGTGGCCACAGCACTTTCAGGGAGGGAACAGGCTCCTCTTTGGCCCTCCTTGTGACAAAGGGCAGCTGGAGGAGATGTGCTCAGGCCAGAGAAGCTCTGCGCATGACCGCATGTGAGCGCGAGCCGCACTGAGCGTACGCCTGGAGGGGGAGGTGCCAACACGGCAGTGGGGACGCCTGGCCACAGGGTGCCCTGCTCGAGGCAAGTGCCTCTGTCAGGCCCCAGAGGGGGGCTTCTCGGCTTTAGATTTACCTCGGAGACCGTGACAGAGTCTTTGGGGTGTCAAGCCAAGTCTGCCAGATGCCACCAACTCACCTGTCGGCACAACCCAGTGGCCCCGGCAAACCCCGTCCCCCTAATCCTCGGGAAGCACTTCCACAGCGCACGGCAATGCCACTGCTCCCAGGGGCCAACCTCCTCGGGCAGGATTGTCCCCGTCACTGCACAGCAGATACCAGGGCATCCAGGGCACAGGACAGGGCAGGTGTGCTGCGGCTGGACCCTCAACGCCCTCTCAGCCCTGGGGACCTCGGCAGCACAGGTCTGAGGGCAGACAGGGGCCAGCGAAGAAGGCCATGCAGGGCACTCACACCCCGGGCAGCAGGTGGAAATCAGCGGCTGTTGCCTGGGAGCAGCCCAGCACCCAGTGCCCGGGGAGCGGAGAGCTAGAACCACGGCGGGTGGCTGGCCTCGTGCCCTGTGGTGCAGAAGCAGCTCCCCTCTAAGTCCAGGTGGCTGTGATGTGGAGGTAGCAGGCCCTGCCGGCCAGGCCAGGCCACGCGTCCTAGTAGCCACACAGCAGCCCGGGAGCCTCCACAGCCTGCCCCAGCCCTGAGGTGGATGAAACCCCGGCAGACCTCACGTGGCCAACACTCTGAACTCCCTAAGCCCCTGTGCCAGGACTATGGGGAGGCAGCCCTGAACCAGGAGGCTGGGCCTGAGGCCTTCCAGTTACCCCAGGAAAACAGCAAAGACTCCTGTCCACTCCAAAACAGGTGCTCTGAAACTTCCAGGCAGAAAACCGCAGAGCCCGGCAACATGCCCAGCAGGACCAGTCCTAGGAAGGCCCACCCTGGTCCTTTGAGCAACACAGGACCTCGCCTGATCCCCGAGGGCTTCAGGAGACACAGTGGAGGGCTGAGCGGACACAGGAGGGGACACAGGAAGGGTTGGGAGGACACAGCTCCCACCCGAGGTTCTGGACTACAGAGGGCCAGAAGCAAGCCGGGGCCTGCCAGCCGTGCCCCTCCCCACAGCCAGGCCCCACTAGAAGCCCTCCCAAGCTGGACACTCGGTCCTCTCCTCACTGAGGTGGCTGAGGCACGGCCAGGCCATAGACCCCTGGGCACACTTCCGTCTGCTTCCCTGCGCTGTCCTTGTCCCCTCGGGGCCTGGGTAAAGACCCACAGCAGCTGAGCATGCAGGGCTGGAGAGCACCACGGATGGGGACGATGGGCACGGCAGACTCCTGCGCCAGTGGAGAAGCCCAAGCAAGCCACGGGGCCAGGGTGAGGCACCCCTGGGGAACTGCTGCTGCCAGTCTGCACAACGGCAGCCGGACCAGCAACTCGGGGAGCGATAGTGGCCAGGGCAAAGGAGGGAAGCAAGCACTGGTTCCCAACGGCATCAGCTGTCCCTTCATGCCGATGCGGCATTCGGTGGCTAGAGGCAGAAGAGAACCAGTTCCTCCTCTGCAGCAGAACTCCTGGTCCCAGACTCCAGCTGCAGGGGTCAACAGAAACCCCGTATTGGTCCCAGGAGGATGTAAGCCTGCCTGGTCCTGGTCTGGGGGGGGTGCACTGGCTCCCCAGAAGAAGGCGCGGCAAGAGGAAGCAGCACAGGAGTGGAATGCCGTCCTCACCACAGACCAGCGGGACTCAGGCTCCAAGGACAGAAGCAAGACTGCAGCAGCTGGGCCTCCAGAGCCAAAGGCCCAACTCCCTCCCTCTCGCATGCCACCAGAGCCACCTGCAGCTCCCTCTCTTCACCTTGATTTTATCAGGGTAGGGGACAAACCTCAGAGGCTGCCCATGTCCAGTCAAGCAGGAAGGAGCCTCACACAGACGCCACGCAGGGCACTCAGGGTGCAGAGACTCCTGGGCAACTGGTAGGCCCTGGAGTCCTTGTGGATGCCCCTCTGGCATGTGGTCCCCATTGCCCCCAGCACCTTCTCTGCCCCGCTAGGCTGCTGCCTGGGGAATGCAGCCTGGGTCTCCTGCTGGTCCGGCCAGCAGCCCTGACCTGGTGCAGACTCCCCTGGGGAGGTGAGTGAGCATTCACTGAAGGGCCATGTCCAGTGTTGGGCTCTCCCCATCCTGACAGGGCTTGCTGTGGGGACCACAGGTCGTGACTGAGACTCTGCCCTGGGGACGGGGTCTTGGGAGTCCCTGCACTGCCCTGGACAGCCCCAGCGTGCACTGGGGACCACGGCCTCTCCCCGACCCGGCCACGAAATCAAGGAGAGCTGCCCGGCCAGACTTACCAGCCCACCTCCTGCTGAGGCAGAGCCACGCTGCGCCGTGTGGCCAGGCGCGGGGCTGCTGCTCCAGCACGCGCCTGCTTACCTGTGGCAGGTGCAGCTGCAGCCCCTCGCTGGGCACGGGCTGGCGTGACGGCGTCTGGTCCAGGTGCAGGTTGAAGATGGTGGCCAGGGCCGATTGTGCCGCCCGAGCCTTGGCCAGCTTCTTGTTCCTGCCCGACCCCTCGAAGAACTGGCCGTCCACCACCACGGACATGACGAAGCTCTTGGCATGGCTCTCCCCGCTCTCGGAGAGGAAGTCATACTTCAGCCCTGGACGCAGCTCGTTGAGGATCATCACAGGGTTCTTCCCGCTGGGCGGCGGGAAGGGTGGCGGGCCCGGCAGGGGGGGCTGGGCAAGGCTGGCGGGCACAGGTGAGGCCGACAGGCTGAGGTCCCCGCTGGAGCTGAGGGACTCGTCTCCGTTGGAGCCCATGCAGAAGGACTCCACCCGGTCTGGGGTCTCGAAGCCATTGAAGAGCGTGTCAGGGAAGTCGGCCTGGTCAGATGTGAAGTCTGTGTGCACGGACAGGGTCCTACCCATAGCCAGGTGGGCCTCGGAGGCATTGGGAAACTGGACGAAGGACCTCAGGGCCTTCTCTGCAGCATGCAGCTTTGCCTTCTTCTTTGTGGGGCCAGAGCCCTCGAAGACCTGCCCGTTAACCTCCACAGACATGACGAAGAGCGGGGCATGCACGGGCCCCGTCTGGGAGAGCAGCGTGTACTGCAGGCCGGGCTTGATCTCGTTCAGCTGCATCAGTGCATTCTTGGGCAGCACGGGCCCTGGCGCTTTCCTCCGCTTCTTCAGGCGGTACCTGGAGTGGCCATTGCTGCCCTCCTCCAGGGGCCGCTTCCGGCCAGTACCACTGCTGCCCCCACCAGGGAACTGCAGGCCCTCACCAGGCCCAGGGGCACTGCCGTCCTTGGGGGACACGATGTCCAGACTACGGTTCTCCTTGATGTCAGTGCTGCTGGAACCTGCGGTGCCCAGAAAGAGTAACTTGCAACGCCTTCGTTGCAGGACCTTGTAAATGCAAAATTTACAGATTCCTTGGCCTCTTTGCAACGGTGAGTGGTGTGCGTGTGCCCTGCTCCTCCCTGCAAGCCCGAGCAGGCCCTTCCACCAGAGAACTGCCAGCCTCGACACTGCACCCAACAGTGGCTAAGTGGCCACCTAGCTCCCCGGTGGCTTCTGCCTAAAGGGGAAGTTGAAGAAGTGGTTCTGGGGGTTGGGCCCGGGGCGCTCGGCCACAGGCTACATTTCAGCCCTTTTTGTTTTTTCTGAAACAGGGTCTGGCTAAGTTGCTGAGGCTGGTCTTAAGCCTGCACTCCGGCCTCAGCCTCCAGAGCTGCTGGGTCACAAGCCTGTCCATCCTGCCTGGCAAAGGGTGAAGAATTTTAAGAGTCTTTCTACTGAGAATATTCTGAATCATCCAGAAATACTTTACTCGATCTTTTCTAAATATGAGACAGTAAGTTAATCCCCCAAAGTCCCCATTAATTAGTCTGTGACATGGCAGTGTGTCGGGACAGACAGATGCCCATTCACCCAGGGAGCCCCTCTTGCCCAAGGGCACCCACCCCACGATGCCCCTCAGTTTTAAACTGCAGCATCTCTCACAAGAGGAAGCAGCACTTTAAAACACATTCACAAATCAATTAGTTTTTTCAGTTTAAAAATAGTCAACCAATATATGTGACCATTTCACTTAGTTTATAATTCAAAAAAACTGTTTACATGATTATATAAAACACTATGACTTTTTAGAGATTATTTTTGAAGGACACGACTTTATTTCTGGTATTCATTTGAAATCTTTCATTATATGCAGGGATTTTTACCTCAGAACTCTTAATATGTTCCATGATAGAAAAAAAATACAAGCACAAAATACAAGATTGTTGTGAACAGGCTTCATAACTAAGTCTGGCAGTTTTATATTTTAAAAACAACTCTCTGATAGGCCTGCAGAATGATCTCCTTATCTACCCTTTAAAGATACTTCATAAACTTTAGAATTCTAGAAATATAAGGCAAGATGACCAGGACTCGGATTTTAAAGGGGAAATGAGCACTCACTCTCCTGTTAAGTTGGACAGAGAAGCAGAGCGGCTCTCTGGCCAGCACCACAGGACCCTGTGTGAAGCCCCCACTCGCTCTGGGGGCCCTGGGACCCACTCAATCCCAGGACACCCCTGGAACTTGAGCAGTGCCCAGGGAGGACTTGGGCAGCCACTCCCTGTGAGGCCGGGCAGGTGCTCCTGCTACTGGCACACTGAGGACCCGGGAAGGCCCTGGACACTGCCCTGACACCAAAGGCCGCTGGCTTAGACCTGGGCTTCCCTCCACGACCCGAGTGACACACACACCACTCCTCCAGTCACAAAGCTGCCGGAATGGACACTAAATTTCCATTTATAACATCCTCCAGCAAAAGGCCGGTAGGTTACTCCTTTCGGAACTCAAAGGAAGAAAAGGTTAAAAGAGCAGAGCCAAGACGAATCAGAGGTCAGTAAGGGCAGCGAGGACGGCACGGCCAGCTGTGCACAGGACATCAGCAGGGAAACCCCGCGGGACGCCGGACGCCTCTGTAGACCCACAGCCAGTGGCCAGTCGTCCCCCAACAGCTGCCTCCACAGTCTAGAGACCACAGGACAGCAGCTCCCGCCCGGTCCCGCCCACTCCAGGGGCTCCTCCATGGCAGAGGCTGGGGAGCTGGCCGCCTTCTACCCAGGACCCCCAGGCACAGGAGGCGAGTGTGACCTGCGAAAGATCCGTCCTCAGGGTGCCTCTGGGACAGACGCCTGCCCCGCCCCCCGCCAGCTGCTGCCCTTCAGAATGACGGACGGACGTGGAGCCAGGGCGCTCCCGTGTTGGCTTAGACCCCAGCTTATCTTCTCAGGAAAATGGTTCAGGAGGGTTCTCGTCAGGTGACTGCCACAGGCTCCTGTGTGGATGGCGGTGGCCTGGGGACCCACAGGCATCCCTCAGGGAGTCACCCCAACACATGGCTAAGTGCCTTCTGAAATGAGGCCACACTCACTCTCAAAAATTGTGGCAAAACCAGAAATGGCAGAGGAACTGGCAGCAGAAACCTATGCCTGGGTTTTGAAAAGCTCTCAAGGGCAAGACTGAGCAGGACAGTGATCTGAGAGACACACCACAGCCCACCCACCCTCAAGGCAGGAGAGACCGACAGTCCCCACGCAGGGCAGCAGGGGCACAGGAACTTCTGAGGGCTGCTGGACTCGGTGGCCAGCAAGAGCAGGGCCACGGCCTCTGCTGGTTTGGTGTGGACTCTCAGGAGGTACAGAGAGCAGGTGCTAGTGGACGTCACCACTGCTGCAAAAGGGGACCGGCACACGAGGCTGCAGGCACTCCTTGAGATGGAAGCACCCAAGCACAAACACAGGTCAGCCGGGCAGGCACGTCCGTCAGCCAGGCACGTACGTCTGTCAGCTGGGTGGGCACGCACGTCC